TGAGCATGTAAGAAATACTGCTGCTGCACATAACATATATGAAATAACCCCCATATATAACATACATGACATTACCCCGTAGCAGATCTATACAGGTGGAGCTGGGGAAGGTGGACGGCTTCTGAAGCGCGCTTCAATTGCTACAGCAAGCACTAGCCAAGTATTTGAATGTTGAGCAGCAAGCACATTGGGTGCTGATGTGAAAAGAAACCAATCAGCTGCGCCATGTGAATAATGATGTGATTACATCACACTGAGTTAGAACCTATCGGCCAGCGCCATCATCATCAAAACTTTTATCCCTGCAGACATGCGTGAACTTCTATATATACCCTGCTCAGTGCGCAGGGACCCTGTGAATTGCAGCATTGGAAAGTCTGTTCAGGAAGTTCGTATTTACAAGTTGGGAAGTCATAATTACAACATCAGATGCATTCAAGTCATTTTCATCGAAGCAAGATGGCGATGTACCTTTTCTACAAAAAAAGCAAGACTTTTAAACTCAGCTTCTACAAAATGATGAATAAATTATGCAAATCTGTTGTTTTTATTAAATTTATGAAGTCACTGTAAATGTAATCATATATTCTATCGCAACTGCAGTACTATTGTATTTTGCACATGCAATTTAATGCATGTATTGTAAACAAAAAAAAAATGATACATTTCAACAAATTTACTGTCTATCATATTTTCTCAATGACAGACCCTCAAATTTGGGGCTTAAAGAAAGATTACTTGAAAACCACAGGTTGGAGTGGATTAGACCAAAACAGAGAACAAAACAGAGGTTTAATATTGCTGATGTAAGTAAAACAGCGTTAAACATTGCACTTGCTTTTTAAACATTTGTCATTTAAAAATTTTAAACAGATTTAAAATATTTCTTTAAGCTTACAAATGTAAAAATGCCACTTAAGTCAAACTTAATGACTAAATGTCAATGTCATTACAAAATCTCAAACCAAGGGGTATTTATTTTAATGAAAGCTAGCACAAGCATGCAGTTTATGTAATGAAATACACCTGTGGTTCCTCTGCTAGGACACCTGTGGGAACTTGAGGGGATAATGGTGCTTCAAGTAGGGTGACCATATGTGCCATTTTCCCAGGACGCGTCCTGGGAAAATGGCACGTATGGTCACCCTAGCTTCAAGTCATTTCGGAAAGATCATATCTCACACACAGCATCTGTATTAATGGTAAATTTGTTCAAATAAATGTAATTTGTTTTATCAAAAATGGGAAAAATCTAAGTTGCATGTACAAAATACCATTGTGCAACTACAATACATAGTTCAGTTTACCGCACCTTCATAAATTGGATAAAAACAAAGGAAAACACACCTAATTTGCATTCTTTATTAATCATTTTGTAGATGAAGAATTAAAAAAATCTTGTTGAATTTCAAAGCTACATCGCTATCAAACGCCAACCAAAGTCATTTGAAAGTAAGTCGTAATTACGACTTCACAAGTTAATATGAACTTTCCAGGAGAATGTGAATGCACCAAAAACTCCACTTGTTTTGATATTTTATATCTAATAAAATGTCATTCAGTCAATTTGAACTGTGACTTAAATGTCCAAGTGCTTTTTAGGGTTATATTTCTGTACCACTGTTTTCTTTAACCAAGACTTTCTTACAACTACCTAAACATTTTAGATTTGAAAAAAAAAAAAAAAAACATACAAGCAAACAAATAAAACACCTTTCTGCTGTCTTCCTGACAAGGCTAAAAGTTACACATTTGTCTGTGGTCTAGAAGACAAGACGATGGCTATCGATTGACATTAACAATGTGTGGCATCCAATTTCTGTCAAATAACATTTCATACTTTACAAACACCTTGCTGAATGCACAATATATACACTAAACTAAATCGATACATTTTTGCAACCTCACAGATTATTATGTCCCATTATGTACATCAATGTAACTGATTAATAACTGAGATCCCATCATACTCACTTTATAGACAGCTCAGTCTCCAAAGTTGATATTTTGTGTTTTGCCCTCTGAAGTGCACACTGAACATCCCGTGCCATGCTTCTGATATTCATGTATGTGTTAGTGTGTGTAGTAAGCCGATGTTTTCTGACTGGACACTATATACTCCATCTCAGCTTGCACATTCCATGCACACGCATGCAACATGATCCACATGAGGAGACAATGGCTGTGTCTCAAAACCTAGTGAGTTCCCCATCTACATAGGACATGGCACCATGGTTGTTTTTAAATGTATGATTTTGTTTTTATATGCATCATGTTTATGTCAAGGTGTTCTTTGAAAACTCCATGATATATTAATGCATGATAATCATTTAGTTATGTTAAGTTTATATGGGTCAATGATTATATGTTTATATGTCTGATTTTTTTAAACATTTGTACCATTTTTCAATGTGTAATTTCATTAAAAACTCAATATAATAATAATAATGATGATGACAATAACTTTAACACCATCATAAAGGTGTAAGGATCCTTCTTTGCAAATTATACTATTTATATTTTAATTTAATAATATTTAATACACACACACACAATAACAACTGACTATTCAGTCAATTTTAATAGAAAATATACTATCATCCATGCAATAACCAAGTAAAGTGTTTTGTATATAATCAATAATCAAGTAAAATGTTTTGTTAAATTTATTTTGACATTAATATCACCCTACAGCCATAATCTGTTCTTTTTTTCTGGGTTAAAAAGTAAAAATAAAATGTCAAATGTCAAAATTTAAGAATTTTTAAACCCAAAATACTAAATAAATCAATAAATAAATAAAGTAAAAAATGAGACTACACTTTTTTTCCTTGTCTCAGTAGGATATATAATGACTTAATAGATCCAGACAAAATGATTTCCATGTCATACATCAACGTACCACAGTATTACCCCCACTGTACACGCAGTACTCTTTTGTAAAGTTATACCAAAACAAGTGCCCAAAACTGTTGTCTAGGCAGGCAGCTCACTGAGTGTTGAGACACAGCCCTTAAATCCAACCAAACAGCGGCGCACGAGTATACGTGTAACAAAGTAACACTTGCCTGAAGCTGGAATGTTTCAAACAGCTCTAATGTGTTCCCATTTTAAAACAAGCCGTAACTGGTCAAAGAAGTAAACTAGCGTCTTTAGCATGCTGCCTAAATTCCTCCTAGACTGACACACCGTCTGACGCGGCGTCAAAACACAAACGCTGCTTTTATTTTCTTCAACTTCATTAGTCATTCAGTGAAAGCATGAATATTTATGCAGTGAGACATCGATAGGAGTGGTCATTGAAAGATGGACCGTTGTCGGACTTACCATAATTAGAATTATAGTGTCGGCGTTCATTTGGTGCAGGTCGGACAGGACTGTTTCCTAAAAGTTTTGGAGGGGAACTTCCTATTACAGCGCGCGGAGTCACGCTTCATTCCGGCCCACCGGGAGAACGACAGACAGTGCTGCGTCTGACCACTAGAGGCCGCTGCCGCTCACCGCTGCCTCACATATAGATCATAGCACTGGGGACTCTTGAGAGGAACCTTCCTTATAAATATAGCATTAGATCTGAAGGGGTTCGGCCCCGTTTCATCCCCCAGAGAATGTTAGGTGGTTTGCAGACAAATTCTGAATGAAATATGAACAACAATAATAATAATAGTATGTAGCATATTATACTATACTATTATTATATATATGCATACATACCCGAGCAGGGACACCGGCAAGGGACATAAGTATCGCTTTTTATTTCTCCTCTTTCCTACTACTTGTTTCACTTCTGTTTCAGTTTTTTTTTTACCATTTCTTACTATGTGTCAGTAAGTTGTTGTTATTTAGCATGTGTGTTTGGCTCAGTGTTCTTTTTTTAGGATTACCGATAAACTACTGTAGTTTGATTTGTATTAGTTATCTATTTTAGTTTTAGTTACAGTTGTAGTAATGTTGTCATTTTATTAGTTTTTTATTATGTCTATATAGGTTTTTTATTAAGTTTTAGTTTGATTTAATTTGAGTTATTTCAGTACTTCAACATACAAAATGGAAATGAAATAATATATATATATTGAATGTATTTATATATATGTACATGTATATGTATATGTGTGTGGCTGTACATACACATGTAAGTTAGTTGTTTTTTGGTGTTTGGCTTAGTGTTATGTTAGAATCATTATTATACTCATACCTTTTGTTCTTTTAATATTTTGAATTGTTTTTAGCTTTTTCTTTGTTTTCATTTAAATGTTTAGTTTTGAAATGTTGTTGTATGCATTTTTATTTAATTTATTTTATTTTCTTAAATGTGTGCATATATGTAGTATTTATAGAGTTTTAGCTTTTAGTTTTAATTACTTTTTCTTATTTGTAAGTCGCTTTGGATAAAAGCGTCTGCTAAATGACTAAAAGTAAAGTAAAAAGTATGTAGTGAAAATTAATGAATAAATTAGAAAGTAAACAAAAAGTATGTAAAAGCAAGAGACTGTTAATCAATATACTCTTTTAAAGTACGTTGACACAATGTTTATTGTAGAAAAGTCATGCAAATAATTTTGAATTAAAAAACGTTTATCTTCATATTTATACATAACTTTATTACATAAAAACTGTTTATTTGTTTATATGTTATTATTACTTTTATTTTATTTGTATTTGTAAAATATGATGGAAAATATAATTTACCATGTATTTATTTATTTATGAAATGATCAAACAATATAATAAAAACCAGTATAACAGACAATTATTTAATTTGTAATAAAAGCCTGTATAAAATCCGATTATTTAATTTGGCAAAACAGCATGCTGTCTTTATAGTATAATATACATGAATATGCCTTTAGCTTCAAAAAGTTTGAAAACCCCTGCTGTAAATAACATTTTGATGTTTATGCTGTTGTGCGGTGTAGTTGCGTCACGTGACGTAAGGGGGCGCTTCTCCGACACCTCAGATGATTCATTTGCTACTGTTTTTCTAAACCGAGCTGCTTGACTTGAACGATGATCACCGCGCTCTCGCGAACTCGTGTAGGATTTATCAAAACAATGAGCAAAATGCTACTTTTACCGGCTTAACCTACTGCCTTGATTTAATAAATGCAAGAGGTTCATTTTGAAGTTGAAATTCCGGTGAAGAATATAATGGGATTTACGAACACCAAGTTAATTCATTAATCACCGCTGTTCAAACTTTCCTGAGGTGGAGGAGATAACTTAGCTCTTTAACAGAAGATGTTATAATGGGGGGTTCTTTTTGTATCCTGCTCTTTTTACTACACTTCAATGAGGGAATTCACGGTAAGTTTGTTTAATCATAATCGCGAGCGCAGTGTTTCATTAAACTCATCAGTGCTGATGATGTGTTGACGTGGATACTGTGTTTCACGGTAAACATCAGTTTAAGTGGACATATACGGGACATTTACTATAAACTCAAGCAGAAAGTGTCATAACCCTCTTTTATAACCTTTCGCATAATAATTTATCTTTATTGTTGTTGTTTTTTTATCAAATACTGACAGGATGTCATTACAGATTCAAAACTAATGGAGCCTAAACGAATTTAAACTAATTCGGCATCTGTTTTTTTTTGTTGTTGTTGTTGTTTGTGTGTTTTTTTTTTGTTTGTTTTTTTATATTTTAACCACTGGATTATAGACAGAGAATGTATTTGAAAAAGTATCCAGAAAGAGACTACTTTGTTTAGTTCAATGAAAAAGGCACACTTTTGTTATGCATCATTATTTAACCAAATACAATTTTGGAGTTTAATTCTGCTAAAACAAACAGCCATTTAGAGTCTCTATTCTATTATAGCTGATAGATAGACAGACAGACAGACAGATAGACATACAGATAGATAGATAGATAGATAGATCGACAGACAGACAGACAGATAGATAGATAGATAGATAGATATGCTACTTTATTGATTGTAGAGTTACATCATGAACAGGTCACTGTAGTTTCCTCTTTCCTGGGAAATGAATGTGATCTTTGATGCAGATGTTTTGGCCAGCTGTGTTGTGTTGTCACAGTGGAGATCTTTCCGACATCTGCAGCATGCATGACGTCTGCTGTCCACAGTCAGAACGTGCACACTGTCAGAGATGCCAGAAATGGACCCAACACAATAGACGTCTTAGAAAAGTGCACAAAAGCCTCTTGAAGGAAATATGAAGTTTCTTTACAAATTTTTGAGGCGTAGATTACATATTGCACATGTCTTGTTCTGCTATTCTCTGTCTTTTTTTTGTGATTTACTTTACAATTAAAGGCAGGAAGCCACCAAGAAAGCGTGTGATGTGAATTACTGTGTTTTTTAAAGGAATAGTTCACCTAAAAATGAACATTTGCTGAAAATTTTGCAGGCCATTAAAGATGTAGGTGAGTAGAATTTAGAATAGATTTGCAGAAATTTAGCATTACATCACTTGCTCACCAATGGATCCTCTGCAGTGAATGGGTGCCGTGAGAATGAGAGTCCAAACAGCTGATAAACACATCACAATAATCCACACTTGTGAAGTTGTGAAGGGGGAAGTCGTGGCCTAATGGTTAGAGAGTTGGACTCGTTGTGGGTTCGAGTCTCGTACCGGCAGGGATTGTAGGTGGGGTGAGTGAATGTACAGCGCTCTCCCCTTCAATACCACGACTGAGGTGCCCTTGAGCAAGGCACTGAACCCCCAATTGCTCCCCGGGCGCCACAGCAAACGATGGCTGCCCACTGCTCCGGGTGTGTGTTCACGGGGTGTGTGTGTTCACTGCTGTGTGTGTGCGCTTTGGATGGGATAAATGCAGAGCACTAATTCCGAGTATGGGTCACCATACTTGGCCACATGTCACGTCACTTTTTCACTTTAGAAACGAAAAAGCTGTGATTTGTTTGGAACAAATCCATTATTATGATGTTTTTAACTTGAAACCATTGTTTCCAGATAAAATTCCAGTCTATCCATAATATTGCTGTCTTTTGGGTGAACTATGTAATAGATATAGATAGATAATATAGATAATAGATAGAGAGTTTAATTATGCTATGAAATTCATATGTATGCACAATTTAGATTTGTTTACCAAAAATCCTTTTAAGCATTTATGCATAAGCATTTGAATCTTTACTAGAACTCTCTCCGATCATGAAATGATCAGCTTATCAAGTATGTCCAAATGTCTTGATGTTACTTCGGTCTTAAGTTTGCTTTAGAAACATGTCACACTGTGTGTCCTCCAGGATTACGGTTCACCAAAAACCCTTCCAACCAAACGGTGACTCAGGGTAACATGGCCCGTCTGGGCTGTGCCTTTGAGGGTTTGAGTGAACCAGAGATCATCTGGATGAAGTACGGAGAGAAGATCTACAGCACTGATCAGATGTACATCACACTGGATGCACATCACTGGGAGACCTTTCACAGGTAGGAAAACATGAACCTGCAACTGGATATCCTGAATTGTTCAGCATAGATGTTTTTTCAGTGGTTAGAAATGAAATGTTACTTATTGACACTGTTTTCAGGCAAGAACTGACATCAGACTGTATGAAGGGGATGTTGAAACTAATTAGAATATATTATCATATGATTTGTCAAATCTCAAATTCACTATTTTCTAAGACAAGCGCCACTATTACTACTGTTTCTCAAACTAGTGTTAGCGTTTTGAACATAAACAACATGTGACTTGTTGACCTAAGTAATAGGGTTTTCAGACCATTTAGACAAGGCAGACACAGTAAAACAGTTTAAAAAATCAGATAGATGTACATTGAAGGAGATATATAGACACCAGAATATCATAGATATTTGTGGGTGAACTATTTTGGTTTGGGCCAGTAATATTTTGGTTTGGGCCAGTAAAAAAAAAAAAAAAAAAACTTTGTCTTTTACACTTTTTTTTTACCTAAAAGGGAGACTGTCCAGTTGTCATGAGACTGTGGCCTTGAGATTGCGACTCTGTATCACTGTCTGTATCAGTATAATTTTTTGTTTTATCACGGTGTGGGTGCAGAGCTAGAACACCAGAACCGTTGTTTGTGCTTCTTTGTTAGATATCACAGTAATTCCAGTAACTTTATCAAGGACTTTTCTGTCAAGTCTAACATGTTTGTTACTGTAGCAAGTAACTTTGCCCTTCAAAGTTATACAAGATTATTTTCACCATTGATAATACTAAGAAATGTCTCTTGAGCAGCAAATCAGCATATTAGAATAATTTCTGAAGGATCACTTGACACTGAAGACTGGAGGAATGATGCTGAAAATTCAGCTTTGCATCACGGAAATAAATTACATTCTAAAATATATTTAAATAGAAAACAACTATTTTGAATTGTAATAATATTTCACAATATTACTGTGTTACTGTATACAAATAAACACATCCATAAGAGACATCTTTCAAAGACATTAAAAAATCTTACCAACCCCAAACTTTTGAATGACTATATAAATCTAAATAAAGCTCACAAACAGTGTGTCACGCTATAGTAACCTTGGAGATCATTTTGAACTTGCTTTACTGAAAGCTGGCAGGGCTGAAAATCTCTTGCACGTGTTGTGACTCGTGACGTAGTCCAGTTGCCCAGTTCCTAGATGCTGATTTAGTCCAGTCTTAGACTAAACACAGTTTGGGTGGAAATTTGCTGTTGAAAGTGTTGCTTGCTGTAAGATTAGGCTAAAGAGGATAACAAACAGTGAAGAGAGAAACTGGCTTAGTGTATTACAGGAGTCACGTTTCCTTGCTGAATGCCACGCTGCCAGCATAATCTATAAATGTCTAGTTTCCTGTTGTGGGTGTCATAGCTGTAAACAAATGTATACGTCATGCGTCTCTTTTATGTGAATGCAAGTCATGCCGTTGTTTGCGCAACTGACCTTTGTCTACATAAATCTCAGCACTCTTAGACTGACTGGCTCTTGTCTAGTTGTAAAACTTTAAGACGGATGTGGCATTATTCCATGATCATTATTACTAGACAAAGTTGTGGCATTTGCTACTTTTCTAAGTCTATGTCAAGCCAAGTCACATTTATTTATATAGCACTTTATAAAAATACAGATAATAATAATAATAAACAAGAAAATAGCCGTGTTAATGTTGCAGAGTTCTTTGTGAAACAATTTTAGCTGTAAAGCAGCTCTAAAAAGACAATAGTGTCATTATCCACCTCAATTTAGTTCAATGTTGATTTGATTTAGTTCAGTAACAGTGTGAATGTTATAAATGTTTTATATAAATGTATGCATTTGTGCTCAAGGCACATTTGGTCAATAAATGTTATTTTGATTTACATCAACATGAGGGTGTGTAAATGATGCATATTTCATTTGTGGTTCATTTTACCCTTTAAATAGTGTCTGTTCTGAGTGTTTCTTTCTTTTTAGTGTTAAATCGGTGCAGCAACAAGATGCCGGGAAGTACTGGTGTGAGGTTGAATATCACGGCAGGATCATTTCCTCAGAGCCTGCTTGGATTACAGTAGAAGGTTTGTCAGTTGCTGCTTCAGAATCCATCAAGTAATCGATTTATTAAATTAGATCTTGTTGCTTTGGTGCAAACACTACATATATTGCCACCTCCTGCTTGTATTTTAGGTGTGCCTCATTTTGTGGTGGAACCCAAGGATGTGGCTGCATTTGCAGGGGAGCCCTTCAACCTGACGTGTGCTGCATCAGGTCCTCCAGAACCTGTGGAGGTGCTGTGGTGGCTTGGAGGCGAACAGAAGGGGGATTTCACACCCTCCCCCTCAGTTCTCTTTGTTAAAGGTGAGACACACCAAGGGTCTGTCCCAATACACACATTTGCGGTCTTTGCACTTGACCACTTGTCTTCTTACATGATATATCTCCGGTATTTGCCCCAAATTTTCAAGTGGGTGTGAGAACTGCAAGTGTGCGTAGAACGATTACTTGATGGGACACACTTACAACATGTGTTGTAAAAATTCAAGTGATGTTTTTACAGAGCTTAATTTACACATTTTGGTTTTTAATACTTTGTACTTTACAATACTTCTAAAATATGTGTTCAGTAGTCCCTATGTGACAGTTGAAGCAATTTACAACACAAAATGCAGACTCATCAATAAAATGTGCATCACTTGTTTTATTACAAAATTATGTGTAATATCTAATTCAACTTACACTGGAAATTTCCCTCAAACTTTCATGATCTTGTGAGATCCTGGACGTGATGAATAATGGGATATGCTTAGTTTCAAATACTGCTATAATGCTATAGTGTGGAATTGGTGGCATTTATCAGATCTGGGACATTTCTATGCATTACTTTCTGTCATGTACACACATTCTCAAGTGGCCAAGACCGCAAGTGCCCCAAAATCCTTTTGAAGCAAGTTCACTCAATTCACTCAACAGCCAACAGGCAGCCTTTCCAGTCATGCCCTGATCTTTGAAACTGTTTAGCAAGCTTACATTACAAATCATAAATGTCAACATACTGTATGTTCAAATCTAAACAGGCTAAAACTGTATTTTTTAGGTTAGTCTAATCTAATGCACATAAATGTTATAGAGAAAAGCCAATCCCATATGCTAATCATTGGCACTTTAAAGTAAAAAAGCATTACTTCCTTTCCAACAGTCACCATGTTGAGCGTTGCCATCTTCCCTCATTCATTTTCCACAAGTTGAACAGTTTTTAAAGTTAACCATTTAGAGTTAAAGTTTATGCTCTTGATTAGTTAGTTGCCTCTATGTCTCAGATGCATCTATGATTAGTTAGTTACTCCCCAATACTGCCCTGAAAACACTCCTATATTTCGTTATTCAATGGAAGTTTGTTTGTGAATAACATTAAACAGTCAGTGATCCTGTTGTATATTAATCACATTATGAAACATCGTGTGAAACATCTTTCAAATCTTCTATCGGATGATATATTGTGCAGATAAATTGTAGAACTGAGTCACTGGTTGCTGTGGAGTGACTTTGAGTTTGTACAAAGGTGTAACAGTAGTGTGTTTCCCTTTTAGTGGGGCAAGTTTGTGCTTACTTGTAGTGTAATATTACATGGGGTTGTGAGAGATTTTTAGCAATAGAGTGACTTTATGAATGTTTTTGGTATGTTTCATTACAGACTGTTACAAGTCATGTTCTTGTAGTAAAAAAGACGTCTGTTGGTGGATAATGTCAAGGCCAGTTTACTGCCCTGCCTTTACATTTTGTAACTGGATATTTTGTTCTGTTAGGGAATGCATTATAGTGATCAATACTGTCAGTGTGGTGAAGCCCAGTAAAGTAAACTTTCCATTTTAATAGCGTAATGCTGAGAAATCATTGAGTCATCATATCTATGTAAGACTGTGTGTCACGCGTTCATATTATCAGCCAGTTGCACCTATGGCATAAATGGGTTTTTGACTCACTCAGTGTTGAGCTGAGCTGTTGTTTTTTCTGAACAGTTTACTGAGGACAGATGACTCTGTTATGATTTAAAACAATGTCACAGCTGCCATGGCCTTGTTCACGAGGGCGGGCTGAGACATGAGATCAGGATGTTTTTTGTAATCTTTCTTTGAGTTATTGAGAAAACTCCTGTTGTCTGATTCACTCTTTTTGCAACTCACTTCTGCGCATCAAATTTTTTGCACCCTTAGATTCCAGATATTCAAATAGTTGTATCTTGGCCAAATATTGT